GTGGGCTCTACCTTGATATGTGGTTAGCACAACTGACATGACTGGTGCGTTCTGCAGGTATCTCAAGAGGTTATTTTAACTGTACCGTTTTTTCTGTTAGAATATTCAATGAATACTGTTTTTCAAAGACTCGCGAAAAGCTGTACAACGATGTGTGTGATGTTGTTCTACCTGAACCCCTGTACCGCGCCATGTACACTGCAGGTCAAGCGCAAGATGTGCTTGAACGAGTGAAAAGATTGCAAGTGACTGCTGCCGCTAAGTCCTCTTTCGAGCTTCATACGGGTACAATATCTGGCAGGACATTTGAAGCAGACTGGTTTTTATTCACCTTGGAGAACGAATTGCATTATCTGTGAAAAAAATGGCCGCGTATCTGCATTTATTTTGCAAATGTCGTCAAAATACGATAGTCTTGCGTGTGGAGAGAGTGAACAAAACATTTCTTTGATGTTTTGCTCAAGAAAATCGGTGAGTGGTATTCTGGAGGTGCTCTGTTAGTGTGCCTCGAGCGTGCAGTGGAGGCGAACTAGCGCATCAAGTCACGTTACACGTGAGACATGAGCGCCACCTAGCAGTTTTTTTTTTCAAAACAAAGCACGTGGGTGTGAGACGGGTGTGCACCCCCGCCTCAGAGGTGATAAGGTGTAGAACGCAAGGTGACGGGTAGGGGCACCGCCGTTGCGTTTTAGCAAAGCGTTGAAAACACTCGCCTTTCCGTGGAAGCGTTGGATGGTCAGCGCAGCGTGATAAGCACTACGGTCCTTAAAATTACTTATGTATGTCTTCTTTAGTAAAAGGAACTCATGCAGATTATATACGTGTTGTTATGGTGCCCCAGAAACGCGCAATAATTGCTTTTTAATCGTCGTTGCACAAGTATGAAAGCTGAGTCTTGAGCAACATAGGTGGGTGCTGCGGATGGGGTCGGCCGTTTCAAATAACCGATGCTGTTAGGAGTGGACAAACAGACAAATGTACATACATACATACATACATACATACATACATACATACATACATACATACATACATACATACATACATACATACATACATACATACATACATACATACATACATACATACATACATACATACAGACAGACCGACCAAAATTTTTGCGTAGTAGGTCCCCAAGAAAGACTATCGTCTTTAAAACCAGAAACTATATAACTTGTTTTCTAAAATACTTGTGAAGGTATATACTTCTATGATGTACTTGAAACAACGATCAAAAAGGCATTGCCTTTGAATGCTTATGGTATAAGATTTCAGCCAACAGTTGATGAAGAGGGGACGCGTTTCGATTTGGTTATGCTATGTGGCCTTCACTGTTTATTACGGACACGTATGGCAAGATTTCATTGCGATCATAGTGCACGGTTTGGACGAATGTATTTGCGTGAATGTATGGCAGAAAACTCAGGAGATATTAACTGTAGAAAACTCAGGAATTATACCTGAGTGGCTGTTGAGCATAGAAACCTTGTAAGCACTTAGGCAATTTCAGTTTGAGTCAGACTTTCACTGCTTGTTTCTGTTATACTTGTAGTTGGATGTACGCTCTTGTGAGCTTGCAATAAAGGAAAAAAGTACACTCTGTGGCATGGGCGTTAGCGCTGCATGCTGAGAAGCCAGAGGATGCTGGTTTGATTTCTCTCGACAGATTCTTGTCTTGTGTTTTTTTTGCAATCTCTCTGCATATTTTTTCAACGTCACTTCCGTGACGGAAGTAAGTCAGCAGAGTGGTTGTTGACCCCGGGATTACACACTTTTGTGTTAAAAGCAATCAATACCAAAGCTCACCTACACTTACGTTATTCTATCGTGCATGTGACGTGGATTAAGGTAACGTAACCGAACGAGAAAAAACCTCCCTTGCCGGGGCTCGAACTTCAGGTTATTCTACTACACAGGAGCGCACACCGTGTGTGCTTCTTCCCTATTTGATGACACCATGAATGCGCGCAAATTGTGTACTAGTGTTTCATATGACTAGGTATATGTCATGTTTAGATGAGACGAACAATGCGTTGTGCCCACGTATACGTGGACACCTGCAGCTGCTATAACAATTAAATCATGATCGCGAGCGTTAGTCGTCCCAATTGAGATATGACATTCTGCATTGACATTAGTATGTCAACGTCAAGTGATGGCATAGCTCCCAAACACCAATAAATACTGTACAAGCTGTCACAAATCACTTACAACAAGCACTGCTTTTGTGAAAATGAGTTTCACTTTCCTTTGCATGTTGAGGGTTTAGCCATCTTTAAAATAAACTTCACAAGCTTCACTAAAAATTAAAATCTTGTGGTCTGCATTCTATAGTTTTTGCACAGCCCATTTTCTTGAAACGGATTTGACACCGATATTAGGAGGCTTTGGACGTACCTTTTTCTGGTGAAAAACCAGTGCACGAATTTGTTTTGCGTGATTCACGTAAGCAAAGTAGGTTCTAGATTGATTAGTTCCTTTTGGAATACCGTTAACGGAAGTCTTTAGGACTGCGTAGCTGCAAGCATTTTTCGTTTTCATGTCTTCAGTTTGGAACGGACCGGGAACGTTATGCGTGAACCGCACCTTAAACCCAATGCTCTGCAAAAAGGGGCCGCCATTGAAACCTATATCAGAGCCGATAAATGACTCAGGTAAGACATAACATCTTTGATTCTTATGCTTTTTTGAAGCAATAAAAACGTTGCCTTCTGATCGCAATGCATGCTGTTATATCTAGGTTTTTGCATGCTCTCTGCGTTTATTTATGGGAGGCATTTTGATGCGAAAGTTCAGATGAGCGCACCCAATGATTTTAAATTCTTAAAACCTTGAGGTGGTGTATGCCGTTCATACACCTGAACACTCCGA